TTAAATTTTAAGTCATGTTTACGGTGACGAATAGAAATCGGGGAAGGTTATCGCCGTCGTGTTCAGTTCAGGAACTAATCGCGATTTGAGTGTTGAAATTCGATATTGGTGCAGTTATAATTACTTAAAATTTTTGTTATCAGTTCAAAATGTGGCGTCCTTGGACAACTACTAATAGTAATAACGAGTGTGATAACATGACAGACTTTTTCCAGTTTGGTGATTCCAATAGCGATGGTGAACAATGCGAAACAGAGATACTAGTGAATGAGATTCGGATGCATTTGAGTATTGAAACAAAGAGAGTATGTTTCAATGTATATAAAAATCTACATCTCAAGTTAGGTTTCGAGGGAAACAAATTGTCACAAGCAACATCAGATTTGACCGAAATTCCTTTCTCAACTGTACGTAAAATAGCCAAAAATAAACCTAATGAAGGCAAGACGCGATATGATGAAGTACCTCCAATACTTTCAGATGTTCATCTAATAAAATCATTGAAAAAAAATAATGTGCGACTGTTACAAAAGCAATGAAATTCCTACAACTGAGATAATAAGGAAGAAATTGAATACTTCCGGGCATAACGTGAGCTGCTGTGACAAAACTCTTCAGAATTGAATAAAGAAACTAGGATCCAGATTTAAAATAATAAATAAACGTCTAACAGTTATGGAAAGCAGTAACAAATACTTAGAGCCAATAATTAATTATAGACAAGAACAACGGCAAATTTTCTAATTGGAAACTTGGTATGACACTCACGACACAGTTACGAAAGGGTGGACTGATGATTCGAAAATATGTACGCCTAACATGCTTTCAAACAAAGGATCGCAACTAATCATTGTGCATGAAATTATGTGGAAAAAAACTTGAGAACTTCATTCGCGACAGCTTATTGAAGTAACGGATAAAAGTTCGAGAAAAGATGAAATGAAAAAGTTTTTGTAATGAATAACAATTTGTATTTCGAAGATTACTATACCAAAAACCAACTACTTGAAGTTTCACAGACGAAAACATTTGAAAAAGTACTGCTGAAAAGTATGGACACACCATATTGAGACTTCCCCCTATTTTCGTGTTTTTAATCCCATCAATTTGATTTGGAAAAAATTTTAAACAAAGCATCAAGCGTAACAATGATTTTTCAAAATTTGATAAGAAGGTAATATAGATAATTAAAAAATAATTATCTAATATTACCGAAGAAAACTGGCAAAAAAGGAATAAAAAAGTAATTTTAGTTGAGAAAGACTATATGGAGATTGGACACTTCCATATTGATGATGAAAATAAATTCATTTCTGATTTAAATGACGACAGTGATAGTGAAAGAGAGAATATGGAAGAGGAATCAATCATAAGATGAAAGTTAGTGAAAGTGGAATTATTATCCAGCAGCTTGAATGCATTAACCTATCTCGATGTCATATGATTTTTAGAAACATGTGGATTCGTTTTCCGATGACATTTCAGGTTAGCTTCCCAAATTTCTGCTACCGCAGTTGTCGGTTGATTGTTCAAACCACCAACACTGACATAAAAACTTGGCAAGTTGACTTGGGTCTCTCATCAATAGGTGGTTCCACTTATGTCCCGCTTGCGTTTACGCAGTTATTTTTATTAAGTACTTTTCTTGGTTATTCACATTTTGTTTTCAATCGAGGACCGCCTGCCCGGTACTAACGATGCCCAATAGGTTGAAACACCTGTCTACCGGTGGCCCTAAAATTGAAATCAATATGGGAATGATCGAAATAGTACTTATCTATTTATATTTTGATTTCATGGAATCATTTTCTTCCAGCAGCTTGACTGCATTAACTTTCTCGATGTCATATCATTTCTAGAAACATGTGGATTCGTTTTCCGATGGAATTTCAGGTTAGCTTCCCAAATTTCTGCTACCGCAGTTGCCGGCTCAATTTCAGTTTCACATCATAGACTCATACTTTATTCTTTCTTATATCTTTGATATCATTGTGAGGTATCCGAATATTTCCATTTAAGTACTTTCACCATTTCAATCGAATATCTTCTCTAAGTCAACCACATTGAAACTGCTGATCTCTTCATTCCAGTTCTTCCTCTACTGGGTTCAATATCTGATTGTACAGGGTAAATCAACAAGATTTTCTCGGTCCTTTGCTATCAGAGGAAACAATTTTTCGAACTGCTCAATTTTTTTTGCAGTCATATCGATAAATACTATCTTTCAACATTATTGTTTGGCATATTGGATGATTCGGCCGAGAGTGGCCAACCAAATTTATATTTTTTCAATTAGTAGGTCGGTCGGTCGGTCGGTTGCCAAGCGGTTTGGCGTGGGTGCTTTGTTCACTCACTCGAATTGACTGCCGTGTTGGTCGGTGGTTCAAGCCCTAGTCTGAACGATCGATCTTCACTTGCTATCGTCCAACCCGTGTTAGGAATCACACGTTGAAAGGTAAGACCTCGTTAATCCTTAGCTCGCACAAGTAACGACTTCTGAGGGTTGTCGTTCGTAGGGGTGCGACAGCTGGTTAACGGAAAAACAGATTTTAACAGACTTTTTTTCAAACAGAATACCCAGTATATGAATACGTTATTCGGTTCCATATTTTTTTTAGCTATCTAAGGAAAGTTTGTTTTCGAATTTCTATTTCGGCATTGTCAAGTTATTCCGAAAAACCTATTTTGCAGATATATGATGGAAATATATGATGGAGATATATTGATGAAAATTTTGCAAATTCACCACCCGCATATCTACAAGAATTAAGTGGATTTTTTAGGAATAGTTCTGTTTAAAAAAATATATGATTTGAGAAATGGGAAAACATTAAAATTAGTTTGGATAGTGATTCAAGCTGATTATAGTTACACATCAACCACTTAAACATAAAGATGTCAATTTTGGTAAAATTATTGTGCATCTAATGGATAAATTCCTTTTTTTTAATTCTAAAATTCTGATTTTGTACCAGGCCGGTACATGTGATCACAAAATAGGGTATAATACTATATATANTTCTAAATAACCAATTATCGGACGAAATAGATGAAATGCCTCTTGCGGAACAAGTAAATTTATATTTTCAGCTCGACGGCTGTTCCGTGCACAATTCGAGGATTGTTAAAGAGTGGCTATGTGCCTCTTGCGGAACAAGTAAATTTATATTTTCAGCTCGACGGCTGCTCCGTGCACAATTCGAGGATTGTTAAAGAGTGGCTATATATCGTATATATATATCGCTATGTGTGTGATGTCAGTTGAAATGGAAAAATAAATGAAAATATCATGAACATGAATCAGGGAACAAACAACATTACAAACTCAACTATCGGTCATAACATTTCATGCACCATATACGAATAGTAATTGAAAGTCATATGTCTTATATTTCATTCAATGTTCTGCTCTTAATATGGTCCTTGATGACTGCACTTTTGTAGAATTGCTGTCTATTCTATAAGATGAGTCCTTGTTCAGAAAGATTGCAACAGTACAGAATATGGTAAAGAATAATGACAGTTGTGAATTAAAACATATGAATAAAAGTTCAAATATACGTATAAAGCTGGTATAGATCATGAATTGTGAAATTATTTCCATTTATACTTGTAAATATTTACGTTCTTTTTTGTGAGAACATGTGCTTTTTCTTTCTGTATCACTATTTCATTTTTTTCGTTCCAATATTTTATTTATCTTAGGTATTGTTATATTAGTTAGCCATAATTTCAGTTTTTTTTTAAATCTGTTATCACTTGTAATATACTTCATTCCAAATAGAACTTCTGCATAGGCAATAGGGCACAAGTATGTGAGAAATCTTTGACTTCGAGATGTGCTTACTTTAGGAATCTTTGAGGTTTTTTGCTTGAATCTGGTATTGTACAAGTGATCCACAGACAATAATTTTGCTTCATAAATTCTATGATACATTGCAAGACTCAGAAAATATAAATGTCTACGTGTAAAAAATTTAGATTCTGTGAAAAGTGTTTCAGACGGATAGGTATAATCTCTATTGAAAATAATTTCAATGAGAAATTTTTGACTGACATTGATAACTCTGAAATGATTATCAGTAATACCTCCCCACACAATTATTCCATAGTTGATATGGGACTGTACTAGGCTTAAATATAATGTTTGTAGCTGTGCTATGTCAAACATCTTTTTGAAAAACTTAAATTTGTTCAGTAGAAACCTTATTTTATTCGCAACATATTCTGCGTGTTTATTCCATCTTACATTTTTATCTATTATTATTATGCATTCATATCCAACGTGATGGGAAGGCAAGTTCGATCTAGTCCTCAGAACATTCCTTCGAATAGGGAACTCAGTAAAATATCAAGGAATTCAGATCCACCTTGCTGGAGATCATAAAAAATCCTCCTTTGACGTACAGATCCAGACTGCTTGTTAAATAGGAGTCCGCCTATAAAAAAAGGAATATATGTTAGTGTATAAAATATAATAGTCGACTAAAACGTTATTCTTGAAAACAATTCAACATAATAAGAACATAATATGAACATCACTATTTGTAATAAATGATACACTTGTAACATCTGTAACTCGTTGACCTGTATAGTGTGCGAGTAGGTACAAGAAATAAAGTCTCAATATCCTCGTTAGTCCTTAGCTCGCACACGTATCGATTTCTGAGGGTTGTCGTTCGTAGGGGTGCGACAGCTGGTTAACGGAAAAACAGATTTTTATTAGAATAACTTAAAAATATGTCCAAGAAGTATAACTTATTTATTATGGTTTCTTGAATATTAATGGAAAAGATTGCCTATGGAATATTATCTACTTAAGGAACATTGAATCCCCCACAAAAAAGTATTTCCATGAATATTGACTTTCCTATTATTGGGTGTATTCATGATTTGGAATGAATCCGTCCAATTAAATGCATTGGGGACTTTGAAGAAATTCCCAATTAATTGAGAATATGATTAAAATAACTCTAGTATTCTTGATCAACAACAATAATATACGATGTAGTAAATACGACGGTTTATTTTCATCATGTGCATGTAAGGTCTAGAAGTTATCTCAAAGGATAAATAACAAGAATTGAAAAGGTACTTTTTGTCGATTATACCAAATAGACAACAATATAAATATATGAGAACATAAATTCAATTCAAATGATATTATTGACTCGTAAAGTTTCCATCATGAAGCTGGTAATATTTATTCTGGTTATCATCGTCTCCATCATGGCTGCTACAGGTAATTTTGTTTCACTTTTCAACATATTATAAAGTACATAGTAACACGAATGTTTACACTTAGCAGATTGTATTGAAATATTATTCATGTACTAACAATTCTTTCAATAATTATACAGATCCATTTGATATTGAACATTTGTTAATAAATATGAATTTACATTTGCTTTTCGAAAATGCACGATTTTTTGAGTACCTATTGCGTGATTTGTACACAACTCAGCAACTTTCAGTTGTTTGAAAAGGTCAAATTAAACCTTTTTTGGAGGCGGGGGTCTGCCTCTAAACATACTCCGAATATTATTCAGAAAAGTGATAGTCTCATGCATGGAGACCCAAACATTACAAGTAAATTTGAAAGTCAGGAACAAGGAACGAAGAATGGTTGGGAGATTGTCCTCTTCAACAAATACTATGGGCAACTAGGATGAGCTAGAATATTATCAGTGTGAAGTTAGCCACGCTTTTCCATCCACAGTTTCTGACGTGCTGAGTGTCTATGTTGGGATAGAGGAGATATTGTAAGCAGTGTTGCCAAGTTTCTCATAAATCTAAGGCTGGTATTTAATTGGGCGATATCATACAAATGAGCCGAACAAATCAAGAAACATTTTCTAAACGTATATACAAAGAGAACTTGAAATGAAATTTGTCACTGATAATTATTCATAACCGTATTGAGTAAACATAGGAAGCGTATTGACAGTACCGATTATAACACGCATTATTTTTTTTGAAGATGAATACCTACTTCCTTTTCTCTGACAAAACTTCGTATTTCACAAATAACGGCAAGAACTTCGTGAAATTTTGTGGAATACCTTCTAGTGCACTAATAGAGTGAATCATTAAATCAGCGTGACGTGCCGTATCGCCTTGATTACAATATTTTATACTTGGGAAAATAAAAAAATCATATTTTTCTATTTACGATGAGGAACCCCATGGAATTTGGTAGAAAACCATTTGCTGATGTGTACTAACAGGGTGACTCCTCAAATTAGCGTCACGTGCTGTACCAACTCTGATACGAATTTTTATTGGTGGGAGAATAAAAAAGTCAGATTTTCCAATCTACGATGAGTACCTCCATGAAATTTTGGGAATGACAATTCGGAGGGGTGTGCTAACAAGGTGTATCATCAAGTTAGCGTGACATGCCGTACGGACTACCATACGAATTTTTATTGTTTGAAAAATAAAAAATTCCTATTTTCCAATCTACGATGAGTACCGCCTTAAAATTTTGTGACAGACCATATAGAGGGGTGTGCTAACAGGGTGAATCATCAAATCAGCGTGACATACCGTACGGACTGCGATACGAATTTTTATTATTCGAAAAATAAAAAATTCGTATTTTCCAATCTACGATGAGTACCCCCATGAAATTTCGTGACAGACCAATAAGAGGTGTGTGCTAACAGGGTGGATCATCAAATCAGCGTGACTTGCCGTACGGACTACCATACGAATTTTTATTATTTGAAAAATAAAAAATTCCTATTTTCCAATCTACGATGAGTACCCCCATGAAATTTTGTGAAAGACTATTCAGAGGGGTGTGCTAACGTGGTAAATCATCAAATTAGCGTAACATGCCTTACGGACTGCGATACGAATTTTTATAGTTAGGAAAATGAAAAATTCAAATTTTTCAATCTACGATGAGTACCCCCATAAAATTTTGTGAAAGACTATTCACAGGGGTGTGCTAACAGGCCACAATACAAAAAAGGTTTATCGCTCAATGATTTTATTGTTTGGCCAATATTTGCTGTATTTTGCACAGTTTTAATATTCCAATTAGTGTGGTGCGGATGAGGTTAATATTTATGAATTTTGAAACTTGTCATTTGATGTCTTACGATTAGTTATCTCTTAGCTGGTGTGTTCTTCATAACTCAAATGAGAAATTGTACGTTCAAGTGAAACACAGAGAGATTTAATTTGATGATGATTGGTTTCGGTGACAAATTTCAGACACAACACAGGAAGTTTGTGACCTGTTCAATAATAAGTACCCTGTTCGACCAATTATGCAATCTACTGAGTACCTAACAAATAAAAAGAGTTGGACAATGCAAAAGATATCGTCAGAAAAGTTCAAACGGCAATTTCTGAAGACACACAAGTGGACGTTCTGTTAACAGTACAAGAAAACTCTCACATAACCTAGACGTGAAGATGCATTGCAGCACTAACTTAGCCAATATTTCATTTTGAAGCATCTAAAAGAAACAAATGGCATTCATACAAAATTCAACTGGTTCATGGGGTCATCGTAGATAAGAAAATACGAATTTTTTATTTTCCGAAAAATAAAAATTTGTATCGCAGTCCGTACGGCATGTCACGCTAATTTGATGATTCACCCTATTAGCACACCCCTCTGAATAGTATTTCACGAAATTTCATGGGGGTACTCATCGTAGATTGGAAAATAGGAATTTTTTATTTTTCCAAAAATAAAAATTCGTATCGCAGTCCGTACGGCATGTCACGCTAATTTGATGATTCACCCTGTTAATTTTTATTGTTTGAAAAATAAAAAATTCCTATTTTGCAATCTACGATGAGTACCCCCATAAAATTTTGTGACAGACCATATAGAGGGGTGTGCTAACAGGGTGAATCATCAAATCAGCGTGACATACCGTACGCACTGCGATACGAATTTAAATACCAGCCTTAGATTTATGAGAAACTTGGCAACACTGCTTACAATATCTCCTCTATCCCAACATCGACAGTCAGCACCTCAGAAACTGTGGATGGAAAAGCGTGGCTAACTTCACACTAATTAGAATATTATGTTTCATAATCATGGTGTGAAATACACGATTAGTTGCTCTCCTTTGATATTCAGCTGAATACAATCCGAACTGAATTTTTGAAAAATTCATTTATTTAGAGAATGGCGTCCTTGTGGAATGAATTTCCCAAGACCGTTTCCCAACCAATATCACTGTCTAAAGACTGGTTAGATTCCCTATCAAACAATGAAAAAGATCTGTATCATTATCATTGATTTCTCTATCAAATATTTACCTGGGGCTGAAATTATTATATATTTTCATTTTTACAGGTTTTCCAGACCAATCTAGGCAAGAAAGATCACTGTGTTCCCCTTCAGCATGTAGCTCAAAATGTTTTCCATTTGGAGGATATTGCGACATATCAATCTGTTACTGTCAGCTTCATTTGTGAAATTATCAAGAACTATTTCATTCGTATTGATGCAATCATCATTGCATTTCATATATTATTTCATAAAATTTCATTTTGCACTGTAATTACTATGCTATTGGAATCAAATTCCGAATAAAACATTTTTGTAGTAGTATTCCTATAAGGTTCAAACAGGTGATGGTTAGATTTATTTCATTTTTTCGATAACAATATTCATACATGAATTCAATTCATTATAACGTTGCAATTAACAGTTCAAATATAACTCAAAACGCTCAAAGGTGCTAACACGTTTCCACCTTTTTATAAAAGATAATGTATGCATCTCCACTCACAAGTGATTTTGGTGAAATTGGTGACACATGTGAATCATTGTATTCGTGCCACGTGTCAGTATAGAGATGTCTGCAGAATGCTGTATAATATCCGCTGTAGGTAGACCTACTGTGATTCGAAAGTGCATGTAGATTATAACGACAAGAAGTTACATTGTTTGCTGCATAGTTGTTCATATCTGATCCATCTAGTGAAAAATTTGATGGCAAAATTTAACTTGCCTTAAATATTTCTGTTAGAGAGAATATTTTAAAATAAATGACTAAAATACGGGGAAAATTATGGATTGATATAGACTTTATGCATTTTCTCCTTTCCTTGCAACTCGAACACATTGGTTTTTCATGTCCATACAAAGTTTTCTCTCTTGTGAAGAAATCCAAGCATTGTGATAAACTCAATTGACCAGTTCTTTGTGGTATGGGAAGTGACAAATTCCAAAAAGGATCGAAGGTTACAGATGAGTGTCCACAGTGTGTGCACTTCATCGTGGATTTTAATTGACCAACGGAATTATCTATAATCTTTGAGGTATATGTACTCAAATAAATCAGCCACGACTCTTGTGCTTTTCCGCTGTCGCTCAATATTTCGTTGATCTCCATTAAAGTCAGTTTAGGTTTCCCATCGAATCTATTAATGTCATCATGTGAACCTTATAAAAGATGATGACGGAACTCCAGGGCGTTTTGATGCGCATGACCCATGAATCGAGGGACAAAACTCTGAATCTGACTTTTTAAGGAGACTGTGTTCACTGTTCTATCAGATGAATCTTCTGATCAGAATTCCTTGATAGCTTCTGAAAAAGCATTGATTGAAGCACCCTCCATACTAGAAATATTACTATTGATTTCTTTCACGTACCCATCCTTTTTCAATCATTCCACTAACCATCTCATATTTGATAAACATTGGATTACACTGTTCATGAAAGAGGTGTTGCCAATATTTTCCAACCCATTAAGCCCAAGGGTTTTGACTGGGAAAAGTATCACTGATTTAATTGTGTTGTAGCTGTTAATGATACGTTCACCACTGCTGTTTTCTTTCTAGTAGACGTAGCGGCAAAGAGTAAAGCTGCAACTGTATCTACGCAGGTGAAGTCCCAAACCAGAGGTTTCCCAAATTTTCAAGGAATTAGACTCATCCCGTCTGTACGCTTTCCATCATCTCGACTAACACCTAGGGGTTCAAGAACTGAAGGAACCTCTGTGGTGGCTAGAGCTCTTTTTATGAGATCATTAATGAAATGACGTCTTGAAAATCTGCCAGAACTAAATTCACAACTTAGGCCATGGTAACCATTTTCTTCTAAAGTGGATCCACATCTGGATTTATGACAAACAAAAATTGAAGAACCTAACCGAAGACACTCAAAGAAGCCCCGAGAAGATCATTCAGCCAGGCACCAGATTCTTTGGAAATAACAGTTTAAGTCTAGCCATTTGAATATCGGTATTTCTTTTTGTGGAAGTATTTGTCATCAATACAAAAAAAGAAGTCAAAAGATCCCTAACTGAATGAAGCCCTGAGAAAATCCAAGAGAGACTCATGCAGGAAGCAATGTGTGGAATTCGAACAGACCCAGGTATGCGTCAGACTGTAGAGTATACATTCAAAAGAACCTCAAGTCTTGAATAATAACCTGAGAACTAATACCAAGGAATACACCCGATAAGAAAGCTTCTCTGGGTGTATTTCTCGGTTAAGATATCTCAAAACCAATACCGTAGTCTTTGACGAATTTAGAACTGGATATACTGGACATACACAAATGAGCGTCCAGGAAAATTGAATGATGGCAAAGAGAGTGGTAGATTTGGAAAAGATCAACAAATAGGCTGTAAGTTCATTTTAAACACATGATTCACTGGGATCAGATGATGCCATCCAGCAATGCTGGAAAAAGATGGAAAAAAACGTAATTGGCCCTTGAGGCTGCAGTTTTTTTCGGAGACGGAAATAATGAACAAGCCAGACAAACAGTCTCAGGAAGCGGAACAAAAAATAGTCGTCATTGCATCAACCTCAGTTGTTGCTATCTTCATGCTCATAGAAGTGCAGAAATTAAAAATTCAACGGAGTTCAATTTTCTAAGTGAATTCTCTTCTTTTCCAATGAACAGCCTTGTATGTGATTTTTTTAAAGACTCCGAAAATATGCATATTGCAGACACGTATTATGTATCGACACGTGTTTTTGCTCATTTGATGTCATCAGTAGATAAAAATAACCAAGTGCAAGGTTAAGCAATACTTGGTTGCAGGTTGTAGAAAACAACCCAAATACACGGATTTATCAACAGAAACCAGTCGCACTTGGTAGTTCCAGTCAGATCGCCACAGAATAGAGGCTACATATAATACAGATGATGGTTCAGTGAGTATATTTGATTATAATCAAACACAGCTTGCTTGATATTTCGTGATATGAGATAATAAAATTTCATAGCATATTCACGTTATTGGAATAATCCTGCCAGGAGAATTAAGGTTTTGTATCCAAATCGAATGGATATATGAGCCCTCTTGCTTTAGAATGCCTTATGACGGTAATGCGGGGATTTGCCCTGTTGGACTATCTTTCCCTAGATACTCCTGGGGACGCCTATGAATCAGAAAGTAATCAATGAATCTGATCATGAGTTCACGGAGGAGATGGACGTCAACTAACTGACTCCAACTGTCTTGCTTAAAACATCTAATCAAGAGAAAACACTTCTCCTAATCTTCATCTTCTTTTCTTTTTCATGGTCTTTGCTTCCCCTCGGCGCAGTAGACCAGATACTTCTCTTAATCTTGATTCTGTCAACGAGACTAGGAGGCTAGGTGGTGCAGCCAGGAGGCGACTTATCCTTTGGGCAGGATATTCATCCAAACCAGAAGCAAACAAGCCCTGCATCTCTAAACCTAATATATCGTCATATAAATATCTGTTCCGGCCATTGAGGTGAGAATCTAGCATCTTAGATATCAGTTCACTATTATGACTGTCGTAGAGGATACTTCAAAAGATGGTCCTCAGATGCGTGTCCAGAGTTGTTCATTCAGACATGGATAGTTAGAGGTTACCTGGGAGGAACAGGAGAACAATTACGAAAAAGCGTATGTCTGCTATGCGTCGTGTGGCATTCCAAGCCACACATTTGTTCACCTATTTAACGAAGGTACTCGCAGACTAATCATCGATTAATTTCTCACTGGAGTAAGTAAAATGTACCATGGTATGGAGTGGACGGAAATTCAGGCCCTGCTGACAGAGCACATACTATGTTCCTGCCCTGCCGCAGAACTAATCACATTTTCAGGATTTGGCAGACTTCCACTTTTGCAAGCTGACCTGAAAAATCACCTACCAAATCAAGTAATCGTTGTGAATCTGGATTCATTTAGTCAAGTTTGAATAGGTGTGAGCCGCAATAATTTGTCTCGGATTGCACTGAAGGGTCGAATAGCACCGCTCAGTTTGGCCTTAGTATCAATTGGAATAACAAAGGCAGCTTCTTCAAAAATTGAAACAATGTTTCGAACTAAAAAGTTGTACACACCTCAGCAATTTGCGATGCTTCATAAAACTCAGGTAGACCTTCTATGGAATTTTGCTTAGATATATAGAGTTTCACCGATATGCATACACCGAGGCAGCTAAATTCTAATTAGGAAAGAGCCATCCGCCTGATTTGATCACAAGCAACCTTGGTAGCCTAAATAAAAGGTGGGTTAGTTACTTATCTCTTTTCTGTAGATATTTCGACTAGCGGAATATGTCGAAAGTAATAAAAAACTACAGCTGCCGATTACTTCAAAATTTAGTTCCCTGGTATTAGTCAAAAAGGTAGTTGTGTTCCAGCAGACATTTGCCAGATTCCACTATGTATGGACAATAAGAGAGGTGAATATTTATTTTCCAATATATCTGAGAACTGTTACTATCATATTTTTATCGATATAGCCCAAAATAAACTATAAAATGAAATACTCCAAATCATCAAAATTTTGTTTAGGCATGGGAAAAACAAGAAGTTCAACCATACAGTCATCACGGAGTAGGGATAAACACGAAGCCGATCTCCTGTCTCTCTAACACAATAAGCCTTATCTCACTCCCTACACAGTTTTTGTCACTATTATTGTTTATCCATCGATGGTAAAAACTATTTATTATCTAATAGAGTTTTTGAATTCAATGAATTATCCAGGCATGCCACCACATAATTTACAACTTACAACTCCGTTATTTGAATCCACTACGGCTGTGTAACGGCACACGATTAGTCATTAAAAAGTAGCCTTGACGGTTGACTCAAAGATAGAATCAGTTCACATCAAAGTGATAGTGATTACATCTTGAGAGATGTGCTCTCAGTAGTCTTGTTTTCAAAGAAGGTCATAAAATGGACTTTAATTCAACTGAAATCTTATCGATTGAAAGAAATACATCTGAAGGGTTGTTTTTGGAAATGTCATTTATTTTACAATCAAATAATTGCCGTAATAGAAGAGCAAACATTGATCACCTCAGTGAAATCTATGTCTTCCTACCAGATATTGATAAAAATTCACACAATTTTCTAACCAACCAGAAATAATTCTGGATTTTTATAATTATAATTCATAACATTTTTTAATATTTTGAAGCAAAGTTATAACCTTCCTATGGCAGGGTTTTACTTTCAATTAATGACACTTCTTCATTAGCTTTTGAATCAAAACTAATAAGGGTGTTGTCAATTAATTAATTTCAATTTGATGCAATTGATATTATATTTTCTCATTGATTTGCTTATATAACAGCAGATGTCTCTGATCATACTTGCGCCATTTGTTTCATAGTTTTAACATAGACAAAAAAAACACACATTTTTCAAACTGAATCAGATGACAGTGTCAATTGTTGGTTTTGTAGCTCTTCCTGAAAGATGATAAATTGTATCGAAATATTGGAATAACTTGTGTTATTTGTTATCATCAGAGAAACTACAAGAGTAAATATATATGTATTTACATTTTGCTTGAGTTTTGATAAAACTACCTACATTGTACACGAGGTTGTATGCAAGTGGTGGACAAGTCATAAAATATATGCACAACAAAACATTTTGGTAAAGTTGTAGTTTTTGGAATTACTATGGATCTTCATCAAGTAACGTCCGAATCAATCAGAAAAATAATATTACTATAAAAACGCTATTTGAAATAAGTTATTAATGTTGAAATTTAATACGACGCAGTAACAGAATGACGATGATATTCGGATATTGAAATTGATGGACACTTTTTTCTTACATTAAGGTCAAAATTCAACAGTGAGGCAACACAAAAATAAGTTTCATAGAACACTAAGTTGAAATGTATCATAAAACATCCAATGGAAAAGAAATTGACAGGTGTCCTCTTATTTGATCGAAGATTTTTTGGAATATTATAATTTTCTGAATTTCACAATATAAAATAACACTTGGAATTTAAATAATATCGAAGCTAACATTAAAATATATATTAGAAAAGTTTTGGAAGTTTTTAAGTTCAACAGGTAGAAATACATTTCACTTGAAAAGTCGATATCAGTTTATCAGTTTTTCTATCAAAGCATGAAGGTGATTGTGAGATTAAGGCCATCTCTAAAAATAGTCTTTTGTGATTGTTATGTTCAGTTGCTAGTATTTTTGTAGAATTCCATACAATGACCTTGTTTATTTACGTGATAACTTGAAGCACATCATTCTGGTATTAATATACAATCACTTTTATAAGATGTTATTCTATCTTTTAATCATCTTGTTGTTCGTCCAATATATTCTCCATCGCAATTGGAGCATGATATATAATGAACTGAGTCTGAACATTGAAGTTTTGTGGTTTTATCTTTCGTTTTGAAAAAGATAGATCCGATAGTTGAAACTGTTTGATTTGCAATTTCAATATTCTCAAAAGGTTTGAAAATTTTGACCAATATAGACGTAATTTCTGTAACATAAATGAGAGAGGTGTAAAAGTATTATTATTATTATTATTTTGGTTCAAATCCACTTGTTCATCAGTATTCAATTGAGATGAGTTATTATTATTATGTGAATCATTATAATTGTATGAAAAACTGAATAAAATCTTTCTTGATAATGTTGGTGAACCTAGTTCTACAAAATTCTTATCCTCTCGAGGAGTTAATTATATATTTACGAGGTACTTTATGGTTTTTGCAACGTTGATTTCAGTATAAATGTGATAGAAAAACAATTACATTCAGTTCAAACGACCATGTTGTCCTCCTTATTTTCTGCATCCTAGTTGTTACAGGGATGCTTCTTATTTTGTGGCTCTTGTCCCAAACTGTATATTGGCCAAACAGAAAGAACATTTTCCCAAAGAATTAAAGAGCATAGAAGTAGTTTTGTGAATAAAAAGACCAATTCCACATTTGCAAACCACCTTTTAGCAGAAAGACATGAGTTCAATCATGAATACGATGTGTTACATTTAGAAGGGAAGAGTTTGAAACTTAATCTTCTAGAATGTTTAGAAATCAATAGATTCAGGAATTCGGGTAATTTACTGAATGATCAATTGGAATTGAATAACTCTGCGTTACTGAATATTTTTTCAAATGTGGAAAATGGAACATAAGCTCAGGTAATTTAATTCGTTACAAATTCAGGTAAAAAGTCAGGTACTTGAAATTAAGGTACTTCAAATTGTAGAATAAGGTATATATATACTTGAATATCATTGAATGTGTAGAATTAGTTATTAAGACACGCCCGAGGAAGCCATTGTATGGCGAAACACGTGTTGCGTTTTTGTAAAACTGTCTAGTGAAAATCACACAATAAAGTGTTTTTAGAATATGTTAGTTATGGATTTTCATCATAGAATAGATACTACAGATATTTTCACTCGATTGAATTTTTTGGGCAGAGTGCTTTTCGAATATATTGAATTGTTTGGGTTTATACCGGGTGTTTTAGAAGTTATAGTGGAATTTATTTTCTAAAAATGGGTTCGAACAATCTTTCATTTTGAGCCATAAATGTTGTCTACCAATAATATATCTTCGAACTTCAAGTCAAGATGATCAAAAAACTTCTCTAATCCTATTATTCATGTCTCGTGTGTCGTTGGTTTCTCTCGATACACCTCTCCTTCGACATACGTTTTCATAGATAGAGATAAGTGAATGACTCCATTTCTTCCAATCCATTTTTTCCTGCCACCTGTTCAAAAACCTCCTTACGGGTGTGGGAAGGACCATCATAATGGTAATATGCCATAATGGACCTATGCCTTGTGTCAATCGGTACATCTTCCAACAAAATTGATGAATCATTTCCTAGGAAATCACTTACAAATTCCTCCATTCAGAGGCCCATCAAAGAAATATGCTCGAGTGTATTATTATGTCTATTTACTTTGACATATCCGAATGTGAACTCGTCAGAAAACAAAAAATATTTCAAAATATTCGGTTATTCGCTAATTGAATTCAATGAATGTTCACAATACCAAACTACGGTATCATAATCCTTTTCATATGGCTTTTGATGTAATAAAATTCGGTATAGGAATAAACTTTATTTCTGATCAACTTTCTGTCCACGATAGTAAATCTCTGGCAATTTCCCTCGTACCTACATGAGGATTTTCAACAGTTGAAAGCATCATCGCTCATTAATTTTTTTCATTATTTGAAATTGCATTTACTAATTGCCTTTTCTAATGCTTGGCACCATGGACAGGAAATACAGGCCGAGTAACCGGACTCAGCAATATTCCTGGTGAGGTAATAGCATGCCGCCCTGGGGTGAAACCCAGAGCATGTCTGGTGATCAAGAAAGGTATTATTAATTTTTTGCTTACAGGCTTCTTCACCCAAGACGTGGTAGCCATCCAAATTTCCCTATCAGGCAAGAAGGGTAAGACGAATATCATCGCCTGCTCCGCCTACTTTCCAGGAGATTCGGATACCGTACCTCCTCATGCTGTTAGACGACTAATCAACTACAGCCGAAAAAACAAACTACAAATCCTAATGGGATGTGACGCCAATTCACACCATACAGCGTGGGGCAGCACGAATATAAACCTTAGAGGTGCATTACTCTTTGATTATATACCATGGGAAGGGCTGTATGTAATTAATGAGGGCTCGGTACCAACTTTTGTCACTAGTAATAGGCAAAAGGTATCAGACTTAACCATCAGCTCACATTCTCTGAGCACCAAGATACACCATTGGTTAGTATCTTCTGAACCTTCTTGTTCAGACCATAGATATATTCTTTTCAATATTGAAATAGGTCTAAGACCAGTAGTGGAATATCGTGACTCGAAATCTACTGATTGGAGTGTAATGATATGGATACAGTAGCGACGAAATTCCGCGAAGCAGTAATTTCATCCTATCATGAGAACTGTCCACTAAGGGTTAAAAACGATAACAATAATATTTTTTTTGATGGGCCTAGGAAAGAAAAGAAAAGAAGTTCGACGATTATTCAATCGAGCTAAAGAGTCAGGTAACTGGGAGCTTTATAAAACTACTCTAACGACATACAAGGAAATTAAAAAGGCAAAACGGGAGTCTTGGATCACAAGATTCCCTCTAGAGAGCCGACTGCTGAAATTGGGTCGCTTAAACGACCCGATGGAACATTCACGACCTCTAATAAAGAAACGTTAGAGCTTTTGATAGAAAATCACTTTCCTGGAAATGTGACTCTTGATAACACCAGAGCTCCCATCTTCGAGGGCGCTAAACGCCCAAAAAGAACGATAAGGAAGTCGCAAAGAAGGTTATCACAACACCGGCAGTTGAATCGCCTATCAAGTCGATTCAGCACTTCAAATCTCCTGGAGAGGATGGTACCCTCAATCGGTACGACCAATCAGCCTTACATCCTTCCTGTTGAAAGGACTTGTGAAGATACTGGACGGACACATCAGGAAGGTAGCATTATATGCATCCCCCTGAATAACCACCAGTATGCTTATCAAACCACCAAATCGACAGATTTAGCATTATATTATTTTGTTGAAAAAGTTTCCCAATCCCTTGACACCAAGGAGATTGCTGTTACTGTATTTCTTGATATTGAAGGAGCATTTGACAATGCACTACCTTAATCTATACTACGACTCTTCAAGGCGAGGCCATTAGGTTCGAAGTCACCAGAGGCTACCCACAAGGTGGGGTACTATCTCCCCTTCTGTGATCGCTCCTGATGGATAGTCTGCTTGATGCCTTCGAAAGAGGAAAAGTTGATCTGCAGATGACCTTGTCATCCTGGCAAGGTCCACGTCGGGAAGGCAGCTTGTAATATTCTCCAAAGCACGTTGGACGATGTTCACAGTGGGTACCTGAGGGGGCAGATGTCTGTCAATCTCAGCAGAACTGTGTTGATCCCCTTCACCAAGAGGAGACAATTGGACGATCTAACGCCACTTGCCCTCAATGGTGAGGTCATTCCATTTGGAACGGAGGTGGCATTGTGTTCGATAAAAGACTCACATGGAACGCTCACTTGGATAAAGTTTTACACAAAGCCGTACTGTCTCTATGGACATGTCGAAGGATTTGTGAAAAAACTTGGAGTTTAGGTTCCAAACAAATCCATTGGATTCATGTGATGATTGTCAGACCAATGATCACTTATGGTGCATTGCCCGGTGGCCGAAGGCTTTACAGAAAACAGCATATGTGAAGCTCTCTGACTTAGAGAGACAGGTTTGTCTGACTATCAGTGGTGCCATCAGTACCACACCGTGAGCGGCCATTGAGATCCTTTCAGGTCTACCTCGTCTTCACATTCTTCTGCCAATTGCACAAATCTATTTAATGCCGAGTGCAACAGATTGTTGGTTGACACTGGAAGTCACAGCATTCTGGAAATGACCTCTGACTTTATGCCTCCAACTGTCAACTACGAACTGCCTTATAAAGTACTTTTCACGATTAGNCGGTTTGGTGTTGGGATAAAACTCAAGTAATATTAATTACTACACTGAAAGTTTC